GGTCGGCAAACAGCGTTTCAGGAGCACTACCGCCGCCTACCGTTTAAAGTTGTGTTTACCAGAAAGTGTAAGGTGCTAAAATTCAGGATAACAGGGACATCGATTCTGGAGATAAATGTTTTTTCACTTTAGTTGTATCGGACTGGAGATAATTTAAAAAAAATCTGCATCGTACCACTGTGGAAAGGAAATGTGAGTTTAATTTAGGTCAACCGAATGTTTGTGTGACTAAAAATTGATATTAACAGTTTGCCACAAATATCACCTGAAACGTATGCAATAATAAAGACAAAATTTTTCAGGGAAAAAAAATTATGGTAGCAAATAAAGGTGAAAGAAATTCAACAAAATTCTTTCTTGTTGTTTTAGGTATCAATGACTGACAGGAGTGACTGTTTGTGCTTGTAAATTAAGCTTTCGGGTATAAACCTAAATGCACAAGAAACAGTGGTTGAATCTCAGGGACTGTTTTGTCAAAGCAAAGAAGAAGAAGAACAAAGGAGATCATGGTAGTGTTTAATGCATCCCTGCAGCTCTCAAGTCCCTGTCCTGGCTGAATGATTATGTAAGACATCGAGACTTGGAGGGGAACCACACATTTGAAAAGGAGGGTTATGTCCGTGATAGAGATGTGCAGATGACACCAGAGCTCTGAGGCTTGTTTTACTCTTTGAAGTGCAACTTTGAAATATTGCATCTGAGCTACTAGTTGACGAGGAAGAGAGAATGACTGAACAATATGGGGATGTACTAAACATATATAATCATCTTATGAGAGCATTTCTACTTGGTACCAAACAACCCAATAGTGTTACAAAACTAACAACATCATTTAATGAATATCACTCCACAATCGCACAAAGCCCCCAGCTGGCCTGCCCAGAAGTGCACTACACCAGTGCCTAGTTCACTGTGTGTAACATCAGAGCTGGACATACAAGCTGGAAAAATCAGTGACCGCCAGGTCAACAAAGAGAAGGTGGAGTGAAGACATTAAGGACATTAAGGCTGAGCGACAAACGACAAGAAGAACAGGCAACTGGAAGAGGATCGCTCCACTGTTGACCATTATTTCTGCAGGACAATCGGAAAAATGCCCAAGATCCTGAGCAGAAATGAACCCTTCAGATGACATGAACTAGTGCTTGAGGCAAAAAAGAAAAATTAGTTTGACGCCTCTGATGACAACTGAAACAGAGCATGTCATGTTTGCACATTTTTCATATTTTGTATTGCTTGAATAATTTGTAATGTTTTGTTTTGTGTTTAATTTTGATCTTTGTTTTCCTTCACCACAATAACTCTCTTGAGCTAAATGTATTATATGGTGTGATTATTATATTAAAATGACTGAAAAAAAGGCATTTCTCAGATTTGAACTGAACAACAAAAGTGTCCTTGAGACAGTTTTAATTCAAATAAGTATTATTCAGGTGATACCAGATTTATTCATCACTTGAACACTAACATTTGTTCTTGATAAACTGTTACATAGCTGAAGGTTTAGTAATTAACTCACACTGTCAGGTTTGGCGAGTAACGCTGCCAAAAGTGTCAATGGTGGACTCAATTAAAATGCCAGACGTGATGTATCTTTACTAATCACAATAGTAGTATACAATACAAAAGTCCAGAAAACACACTTGAGCTGATAATACCAGTCCAGGGTCAATGCTGGCAACTAACACAGCTAAGAAAATCCTCAGAGGCACAGTCAAAAGGTGATGTCCAAGGGTCGATGCACAGAAAACGATCAGGATCAGGACGGTAAGTAGTCGATGGTCAAAAACAATCCAGGGTCAGAACAGGAATATCAGGTATGAAGAATAATGCTGGAAAGTCTGAACGGGAGTCTAGAACAATCTGGCAGCTTCCCGGTGGGAGGAAGCTGCCTATAATGGGATAAAAACAGATGCAAACAATAAACACTGATTAAGGTAAAGAGTCCGTAGCTGAGGTGAGACTGCAACAGGAAGTGGTTTCAAAATATAAGCATGAGAGCGGAAGCAGGCGGGACAAAATCATGACAAACACAGTTATTGACACGCATGTACAAGTTCCTACTATAGTCTAAAACATGTTAAACAGGAAAATCAAGAGGGACTGTGAAGATTTCCAAGGAGTCACAACAGATGGTCACTGTGCTGCAGTCCCACATCAGAAAGTTAGATCTCTTTATGCAAACCAACAGTTTTATAGTCCGAAAGATTTCCATATAGCATTGACTTTAGACCAGAAATTAGGATTTTCAGCTTTTTCTCTGACCTCTTCTTCCAACCTCTTCAGTTTTCTTTGAAACTCCTCTTGGATTTCTCTTTCACGAGCTGCATATAATAGCCTCTCCTTCTCTTTGTCAGCCTGTGCTTCTTTCAGCTGTTTTTCATACTTTTCCTCTATTTCTTTCTTCAGTTTCTCCTGCTCTTTGCGCAATTTTTCTTCTTCCTCTTTAAGGATTCGTTGCTTCTCCTCTTCAATCGCCCTCTCTGCTGCCTGGAACATTTCAGTGGTGTAGTGCCTTCCTCCGTTCTTCTCTGTTATATCTCGGAGCTTCTGGAGCAGCTCAGTGACCTGACAACGA